CACACAATTACACGTTTGTGTGTATTTCTCTCTCCAAAGGTCAGGAACTATCTCTTATTCAGCTGTTTTCCCAGGGTTGGGTACATCTGTATAAAACTTTGTTAAACTCAAGTGAATGAATGTGAGCCCATTTTGACATTCTTTCTCAACACAGAGTCTCATCTCATGCTTTTTCTGGAAGGGTGTTGCTCTTAACCACAATGCACATATATACACACACAATGGGAAGGCTAAGCAAAGACTACATTTTACATTTTTTATATGTTAACTACTCAGTACCAATAGTTTGCCGCAGAAAGAATAACATTTTCAAACTAAAAAAGGAACTGTTCTCCCATGACCCACCAAACCCAAAGCACCAGTATCCACACAATCAGTGGGCCCTTATGGACTTGCTATGTTTCTTAAACCTATAATCAGTAGACAAGAAATGGCTGGTAGACATTTGGGTGGCTCCCAACCATTAGAATCCCTCTGAAGGACTGGTTCTCCTAGATCCACAGGCATGGAACAGATGTATTCCCAGTTAGGTTAAAAAATCTCCCACACTGGATCACTAGAGCTTCTCAAGAAGGATAAGTCAGCACGCCCAGGCTGCCTCTAGAGCCTTGAGCTGGACAGAGGATGGGATGGGAGAAGGCTACCCTTTCCTCTCTCCTTGTCTTTGCACACACTAGGTCTTTCTTCCTGGAATGCCCCATCATACCATCTGACTGCCTGGCAGTCCTCCCCGCCTCATCTTTCAGACTCAAGTATCGATCAGGCATAAATATCTCTTCTTGCATCTCTCCCAGCACTCCCGTTCCTTTCGGAACTCACAATTTTCAGAGCAGCATTTACCTCAAAAGCACACACCTTACTTTAGGCCTCTTTTTAGGTTCTCCAGCACCTGGCACAGACCTTGTTTGTTGAACAGATGCTTGAGGCACCCTGGAGAGAAGGTTAAGAGAGAGGAAGCTTCCTCAACCAAATACAGTAGTAACCACCTGGAGTGCTAAGAGATTCTTGCATCCGGGCCTCACTGTTCTCTGTGAAGTGGGAATTTAAGTCTCTGTTCTTTCCCCTTGGAGACCAAGAATTCACTCATTTAGTCAGCAAGCATTAAACCAATGTGGGGCTAGTCTCAGGGGTTCCTCAGGAAGTAGAATGTCCAGCACTTGCGCCCATGGACCACCACTGAATACGAGGGCAGAGGCAGATGAAATTCCTTACACTGCCCCTCTCTGAGCCTCAGCCTCTTCCTCTATAAAATGGGGGTAATTCCTACTTCTCACAATTATAAGGATGGAGCAATATCTGTAAAATACCAAGCCTAATGGCTGCCAGTATTGCTGTTCTTTTGACTACCATTATTTTTAATCTTATTCTACTATTTGCAGCTTGCATATTGCTTTCATCCCCATTAACTCATTTAATTTTCATGTGTAATGACTCAGGATGTCTGTCTATTCCCATTTTATAGATGAAGAAACTGAGCTCTGAAGGATCAAATATATTAAACAAAGTCCATCAACATGACAGAGCCAGCCCTCCAAAGTAGATCCCATGATCCCTACCCTCCCCACCATACCACCCTGTAGATGAGTGCAAGCCAGAGAACACAGACTCTGTGAGTTAAAGAAATGATGACAGGTGGATGCAGTGGAGTTCATCAAAAAGGAGTTGTTGCTGATACATTTTAGGATGGTCCAACAGTGATAGCTAGGAGGAGAAGACATTCTCGTAAGGGAAGGACGTATGTGAGGTGGGCATTGGCACTGGCACAGCAGAGGAGCCTGAGTGGAGCTTACAGAGATGGGGCCAGCCACGGAGAGGGGCTGAGCTGCCTGCTCATAGGGCCCTAAGAGCGGCAGTTAGTCTGCACAGGGTCGTCGAGGGATGGGATGTCTGGAGGTCGTGTATTGAAAGGCTGAGCAGGCCTGATTGGGAAACCACAGCAAGACTGTTTTCTGGGTGAGACAAGGGTGTGAGGAAGTGCTATGGTAATAGAGAGCTGACTCCCTTCTCTCAACTCCTGAAGTACTAGTTCAGGCTCAAAAGTGAGCCAGAGCTGGGATTAAAGCCCAATCAGTGTGTAACTTCTTTGCACATGTTTCCTCATCTGTAAATGAGAATCAAGCTCTCTAATCCTGCCTGCCTCACAGGGTCAGAATGAGGCTCAAATGAAATTATGTCCATAGAAGTTCTGCATAGACTATAAAGGGCTAACAGTAAGTTGCTGCATTTGCTGTCCACAGTAAGAGTGCCAGCACCTACGGCCACATCCCAAATGTGGACCCATCCAGATTTCTGTACCAGCCTCTACCTTGGCCTGAGCAAGACCCTCAGGGCTCCCAGCCTTGGTCTCTAGCCACCCTGCCAGCCACATACATGGGGACCCTCCTTCCCCTAGTCCCTTCTAGCTGCTTCCATTTTACACTCTGTCGGACTCCATCTGCTTGCCTGTGTTTGTCTTCAGATGTTACTAGAAATATCCAGAGTTGTAATTGTTTAATAGTCGACATTTTGCCTGTTTCATGGGGGCCCAGATGAAGCCCATCCCAGACTCATGCCCTAGGTCTGGCAGAATTGACCAGGGTCAGCTGTGCAGTGGAGTCTGCCTGGCATTATAAAGAGCTCTCTCCCAGGTGCATTATTAGAAAAGAAGGGGAAAAGATGGCCCCAGGCATAATCCAATTCCATATTCTCCGTGGTAGTTTTACATGCTGCACAACCCAGCAATGTGTGGTTCTCAGTAGGCTGCGAAGCATCTCTAAAAGAGAAGCTAAAAGCAGAACCTCAGGTACATGACACCCAGGGGGACCCTATTCCCCTAGACCACCTGTCTTGCTGATACCTGGGTACCTCTACTTCTTCACACGCCATAAAGCCCGAACCCAGTTCATGCCCAACTTCTTCTCCACATAGATTCTCAGTTTAGCCAACTTTTGAAAGAACACGGCTCCTCTCAGGTGACTCCTCTTTCACTCTACCCCAACACATCCACACATCCACATACACACCCTAACACACATCCACATACACAGTGGGAGTGTTCACAGATCTAACCTTTACCTTTTTATAATTCCTCTACTTCCCCAAATATTCTCACTCCTACCTCCCATCAGGTACTTTCCCCTCAGCCAGGCTTTGACTTCTCCCCTTAATCCCCAGTTTTCCAAGTACCTGTGAAGCCTATAGGTTCCCCTTTAGCCAACCCTTCCAGTGGACCTGGGCCAGATAGTTTAGAGAAGATATGGATGCCAGCCTAGGGAGAGGATTGAGTTGAGTGTTTTTCAAGCCCCTTTCAGGATTCACAGAACTAGAAAGCGTTTTGGGTACAGCACTAGAGATCAAAGTGAGAAAGACCACAAATGTGGGGCTGAGCTCCTCAGGCAGGCAGTCAAGGTCTGCATCATCTGATCCCACCCACCGCTACACTCCTGTTCATTCCTGTCTGTCCATCTCTGTCATGCTAACCCCTTGCCTGGCCTTCATGATCCCCCAGTCTTCTTCCAGAAATCCTTTCCTGACCTCTACAGTCCAGCGTCTAAAATCTTAACACCTCAGAAAGACAGACACATCCCTAAGATTGTCAGCTCTTTCTCCATTGACTTGGTTTCTGAGCCCTGTGTCCTATGACATAGATCCCTTTGCTAATCTCTCCCCACCCCACGATACTCTGGAGACAAGACCAGACATGCTGCTTCATCTACAGGCTGACCTTGACATTGTACAGTGCTCCATCCCCATGGTTTTGTTAATGCAACACAAACTGATATTCACTTTTTTTTTTTTTTTAAAAAAAAAAGGTAGATTTGGAGAGAAGTGACTGTACCTTATACTAGTTGTATAACTTACTCAAGTCCCTTTATCTTTTGGTTTCCTGATCAGTATAATGGAGTTGAGGATAATACACCTCTCTGGGTGTTTGTGTGGGTCTTGGGTAAATAAATTTTTCCATTTGTGCCTAGCATATAGTGTGTTCAGTAAATGGTTCTTCTTCTTATAGTTCTGCCTCACTGCCACTTATACTTGAGCAATGCTTCTGAGTGTGATCTCTTCCACTCTGTACTTTCACTTAATTTCCTCACCTTGACTGCATAGCCCTTAATTATATACTTCCTCCTGAAGAGGAAAGGAACTCTGGTAGCACAATGCCTAAGGCATCTGTCTGCTAACCAGAAGGCTGGTGGTTCAAACCCACCAGCCATTCCACAGAAGCAAGACTGGGCAATCTACTAGTAAAGATTTACTGCCTCAGAAACACAGTGGAGGTTGCTATGAGTCGGAATTAACTCAATGGCAGTGGGTTTTTGGTTTTTTTTTCCCTTGAAGAGGAGAAGTCAGCTCTCCCTCTAGCAGAGCTGAGTCCCTAAGGAACCTACTACAGATATGTCCACTCCTCACACCCCACTGGAGGCCATGATGACCAGAGATGCTAGCCAATTGGATTATCCCTTCCATGCTCAGAGCTCCACACTACCCTTGACTGGCTTCCAGAAAGTGCATTTGGCTGTGTTTCCACTTCCTGATCCAGACAGTGGAGCAGGCCTTAGTTTTCCTAACTGGGACAGTCCAGACTTCACAATCCAATACCCAGGGGGTCTTCCATGGGGTTCTGCTGCTCCTGTAGGAGCGTAGGCTTCTCCTATGATGAGTAGATGGGTGACCAACTGAGCTAAAGTTCCTCTCACATTTTCCTTCACCAGCCCCGCCCCCTTCACCTCCATTCACCATGCACCCGCCTTTCAGTTTCCCTGGCAACACTGAGTGCTCATCCTGGAAAACTTTATCCGAAATCTGCTCTGGGCAGCTTTCCAAATCCATGCTAACCTGATTAGGTGTCTCTAGGGGCCTTGCCAGCTAATCAGATTAGGCAGCACTAATGGTAGTGAGGACTTTGAGTGGGCGCAGAGCAGTAAAACATATTGTATACTTAGTGATAATTATCCTGCCTTTTGTGTCATTGATTTATCTGCCTCCCTCTCCGTCCCCTCGTCTTGTGTATTTGGCCATAGCGATCCGGAGAAAGGAGAATGGCTGGTACGATGAAGAACACCCTCTGGTCTTCCTCTTCTTGGGATCATCTGGAATAGGTAACTGGGAGCAAATCAGCCAGTAGGGAGAGAGAGCTAGGAGGAGGGGCTGACCCAAGCCTGACAGCCCCAGCTGCTATGGGCCAGGGTCACACAGCCCACCTCAACGCCCACTCTGTGTTTAGCCCTAAAACAACTGCCTCCAAATTAACAGAAATCACCAATAGGGCCTTGTTTTTGATCATTGTCAATCATAAACAACTAGAATTATGCCCTTCTCTCAAGAAGCCGTGGTGCAGAGAACTCATTCACATAGAGGACTGGGCACTTCAGGGCCTATTAGCCCTGGTTTAGCCACTCTGCATCTCTTTGGGAACAATGGAACCACCTCCACTTTCTAGCCATACCACCCATCTGCATTACAGGCTGGAAGATCCACCTTTAGGAAACCCCTAAGTAAAGTAAAGTAACCCCTTTAAGTAAAGCCCTTGCTGGCCAGTACAATGTCAAGGGTAGTAAAATGTGTTGGGTATTTTCCTAGCCATTTGGGCTGGATATATGAGGTGTTCTCATCTCCTCACTCTCTACCCTCCCAGACTCCCTCCACTTCCCTCCCAACCTCCTCATAAGCCTAGCTTCCCCTCAGATACAGCATCCCAAAAGATTACACAGCCTGACCAGCATAGTACAAAACTTGGCTTCCTGTACTTGACAGTGGCTTCCAAGTTCTTTGAATGTACCAAATGGCCCTTCGGTATTGTTATTCTTTACATTACAAAGAAGGGCTGTGAAGCCAGTGAGAGGTACTCTTTATCCCCTCCCAGACTCTCTTTGGCATGTGGCTCAGGACCTGGATAGCAGGGTTGTGTCTGTCCATGGAGATGCTAGGCAATGAGCCAGGAAGTTAGGTACTCCTAGAAAAGGTAAGGGTTGTGCTGGGCTTCAAAGGACACATTGGCTCTGGATTATAAGAGTCTACCTCCCACCCCACAGTAAACTGAGTTGCAGTGCACACTTTGATTCTGGTTCCAGCTTTACCATTAATCCCCTAGGTGACTTTGAGTGAATCACTGACCCTCTCTAAGCTTCTGTGTTTCCATCCATAAAATACATTATTTCCTGATATTCTGATATTCTTTGATTCTAAGAGATAATAATCTGGTCCTACCTCTTCTCCCTTCTTTCTTACTAGGAAAAACAGAGCTGGCCAAGCAGACAGCCAAATATATGCACAAAGATGCCAAAAAGGTAAGGCCTGGGACCTATACCTAATTTGCCAGTCATGGGGACCATACCATTCCTGGTATCCCAAAATAACCTGGGGCCCCTGAATCCAACAATAGCCAATCAAAAAGATGGTCCCTGGGCAAGGAAACAGGCTTCAGCTCTGGCCTCAGCTTGCCCACTAATTACTCCAGGAATTTGGGCAAGTTATCCAACCTCTTTGTGCCTCAGTTTCTTCATCTATAAAATGAGAATAATTCTTGTCTTATTTGCCTCTTGGGGCTCATGAGAGAACCAAACTGCCTTCATTCATCTGTATAACATTTTCAAGCATCTACTCTGTGCCAGGTATTGTACTAGATGCTAATAATACAATTAATTAATATTAAGATACACGCCCTGCCCCAAAGAATCTGAGCAGGTCTAGGAAAGTCCAAGGAACTCAGTCTGGAGAGGGAGAAAGCTTTAGAAACATACTGTTACTGCCCTGTGCATTCAAGGCTATGCTAGAAGGAGTCTTGGGGGCTATAGGATAGAGCAAATAAGAGTAAGAGGATGCCTTACTGTTTCTTTCCATCCTGCATGAGCTTTTAAACATGATTTCTTGTGTCTTCACCTGTAAGGTAGTTATAGTTCCTCCTCCCCACTATGGCTTGGAGCTCTGTTTTCTCCATAGGAGAGAGCCATCCCCATCCCCTGTTTGTTCAGACTCTGGCTTTCCTAGACCTGCTCAAGTTGTCTTTCTAGGCTGGCAGAAAAATGTTTTCATGCAGAGAGAAATGTCAGCAAGAGCAGTCCTTGGAGAGAATGCAGAAACATTTCAGCTAAAGTGAGACATTTTTCTATAAGCCTTCCCAGTCTCAAAGCTATGTTACCAGTGGTCTCCCTGGCTACCATCAGAGGTTGCCCACAACTCTAGGTGCCTTTGCCTATGCCTATGGCCTATGGGAAGCCTCCCCAGCTGAAGCTTAGGCTTCTGCTAGCTAATGGCCTTAGCAGCACAGTCCTACATACTTTCCGTCCCTCTTCTGGCCTAACTGCCCCCTTGCCACCTCACTGAGAACCTGGCAGCCACAGAAACAAGGTGGCTCAGACTGTGGCCTTCTGAACCACACTTCATGGCCAAAGCAGCATCCCCATTTCCCTAGTAACTGGCCAAAGGCTCCTGAGCCTCCCTTCCTGGCTCTGCCAATTGCTGTGTTCTGCCTCAACTAACCCCAGAGCAGACCCAGTTGACAGGCAGGCAGGCAGGAAGCAGCGCAAAGCTTACTAATATGCTCCAACCTAAGTAGCATTTTTAAAGACAATTCATCAGGTTGGCAGCGATTAAAACAATTAGCACTCTGGAAAGGGCCATAAACTAACAAGACTATTAGGGAAGATGCAGTTGCGAGCCGGAACCACCTGATTAGGGATGAAGAATTCTGGGTGGTTTAATTTTAATACTGTCAGAAAGGTTAATATTTAATTACAAATATAATCTCCTTATCTAAGCTGTCTTAATATGTCTTCATACACAGTGGAAGTAGAATGAAAGTATCTGCTGACTTGCTAGTGTAGAAGAGGGAAGGAGTTTGTTAAAAGATTGATGATGCAAGTGATTTTTTAGCTGGAGCGCTTAAGGAAGGAAAATGTACATCAACACAGGGTATCTTAAGACATGATGATGGAGTCCTTTGATACGTGCCTTATCTAGAAAGAAGGAAGTAACCCCATCACCCCTTGAAGGCAGTGGAATGGAGTGGACAAAGCTTTGGAGCTAGCCGTTCCTTAGCTCAAGTTCCAGTTCTACTTCCTGCTGACCCTAGACTGATTACTCTGCCTCTGGAACTCTCAACTTTCTTGCTTCGAGCAAAGCTATCAAATCCTGTGTCTAAGGTTATTGTGAGCCTCAAGTGAGATAGCATGAACACAGTTAGCTCAGGTTCTAGCACTCAGTCAGTGCTTACTCCCTTGTCTCACATTCCTTTACCATTTTGTATTGTTCACAGCAATACTCCATGTATTGTCTTATTTGATCCTATGAGAAAGGATGCTAAATTAGACCCATTTTTCAGATAAGAAAAGTAAGGATCTAAGCAGTTAAGGGGCTTGTCCAAGATCACTTGTTAGGGGAAGAAGATCAGAAGCCAATCTCTGAACTCCTCTCAGTGCCATTATTCTAGGAGGCAAAATCATAAACTTGTCAGTTTGTCTCATTTCACATAGAAAGATGATAGACATGAGAAGCCCAGTACAACCATCCATGTTATTATTTATTTATTTACTTGCTTTAAGAGTTTGTTTTACATTCAGCATTATGTGTACATTTAGTTTCACTCCCCATTTACCATGCCCAACCCTAACCCACTCCCCTCCCCTCCCTGCCTGGTAACCCTCCCCCTGTGCTCCTCATAGTTATGCACTCCTGTCTGTCCTGTATTACCTCCGTGTGAATGTTGCCCCTCTGGTGCCCCGTGGTCGATTGCTCCAAGGGAGATGTTTTCATAGATTATGTGGGTGCGTCCCCCTGGTTGAGAGTGGTCTGCATGTACATCTTGGAAACTGTTGGGCTGAGAGCCAGCCCCTGGGGGTGAGTTATATTCTAGGTGCAGAATTGCATTTTATTTTTAAATCACACCAAGAAAAGAACCAAACTCACTGCCGTCGAGTCAGATCCAACTCATAGAGACCCCTCCTTAGGTTTCCAAGATGGTATCTCTACAGAAGTAGATTGCCCAGTCTTCATTCGAAGGAGCGGCTGGTGGGTTTGAACTGTCAACCTTCTGGTTAGCAGTCAAATGCCTTAGGCACTACACCACCAGAGCTCCCTTTAAATCACAGCTGGTGCTTATATAAACTCCTACCTATACCAGAGGTCCCTTGGTGGCACAAACAGTTTACACTCAACTGCTAACCTGAAAGTTGGCAGTTCAAACCCACCCAGTGGTACTGTGGAGGAGAAGGCCTGACAATCTGTTTCCTTTAAGATTATAATCAAGAAAACCCTGTGGAGTAGTTCTAATCCGTGACACATGAGATCGCCATGGGTCAGAATCAACTCAACAGCAACTAACAACAACCTAGACTGGCCCTGTAAACCAACTCATTACAGAATTTGTGTTTAACATAGATATTTTCTGGCCATGTGGCAGGCATGTTTGAGGCCTGCCTTCAAAATCCAAGAGACTCACTGGACTATAAGATGTCTAACCAGTGTACCTGATGCTTCAGGGCCCAAGGAGTGGTGTATGGAAAGTGCCATGTCCAGGGCTGAGTATAAAATAAGCTCTTCTCAAACAGGAGTTCCCTTTCATTTGCCTCCCAAGATGGCTGACCACATGACCAGAGCACTGGCTCAAGAGTCCAGTGACTTGAATTCTAGTTCGCACTCTCTGTTCCTTGATCTTCTTATCTGTAAAGAGGCACAGTTACCTCCAGACCTTGCTTTCTCACAAGGCATTGTCTGTATATTTTTATCATTTGTTTATCAGATCTGTGAGCTTATTTTTTTCTCTCATTAGACCTCTGTACTATTTCTCCTAAATTGAACAACTTTGTTAATTTTCATTACTAGAATCAATAATGCTTGAGGAGGAATCTTAATGATGTTCTGTGATCCCGCCATGATGTAGGGTGGTAAAGCTGAAAAAAACTTGTTATTATAGTGACTATATGACATAAGGGTTAAGAGTTAGGATCTGAGTCCAGCTGCCTGGGTTCAGATTCCAGCTGTAGTCTGTTAAGTGGAATTGGCCAGCATCTTTGTTTACACTGGTTTTATCATCTATAAAATGAGTTCAGGAATGGTGCCTGTCATTGGATTGTTATGAAGGCTAAACGAGATAATGATGTAAAATACTAAACACTGTTCTTGGTACACAGTAAGCAATCAATACATGTTGGATATTACTATTAGTATTATTTGCTTCATTTTGTAAATAACCCCAAGCTATGATAAAATGACAAGAAAATTATTCCAGCCAAGAATACCAGGCCCAGAAACTTGTTCAAAGTGTTACTGATTGCAAATCAGTAGAAGACTGGAATAAAAGCCCAGGTCACTTAATATAAGTAAGCTCTCAATCTACTCCCTGTGTCCTGGCACGTTGAGTGGCATCTGGACACAAAGCTCAGAACCCTTCAAATGAAGACTGTTGAGAGCTCAGCTGATTAGCAGAGCAGAAGATGAAGCAGTAGAGCATAATGGCAGAGAGTGCCGACTTGGAGCCAGTGGTCAAGTCTGGATGACCTTGAGCAAGTTACTGTAACCTATGACTCAGTTTTCTCATCTGTAAAGTAGGGATAATAATAGTACTTACCTCACAGACTTGTGCATGTTCTAAGCCCTTTATAGCTTGCTTAGAACATTGCCAAGCACATACTAAGCACAGAGACTGTCAGCTATTATTAACCAGATACGTATCTTGTGGTTTCCAGCCCTTTGCTCCCTCTGGGCAGCACTCCCAGCTTTCCTATGTCCATCCTTCTACCCTTCCTGAAGCCTGTGTTTCTCTTGGCTGAGTGCCTGGGGCTCTCTGGAAATGCTTGCTGGCTCATGTTCCACATGCTCTGATAGCAGTGATCACCCCTACTTGGCCTTAATAACTTCCCCAGGCCTTTTCCCAGCTCTTGGGCCAGGTCCTCTCCACAGACCACTGGTAAGGCAACAAGGTGAGCCAAGGATCTCATGTTACACAAGAAGAAATAACAGTTCTCAAAGGAAAGACAGCGTGCCCAAGACCACACAGTGCAGAACAGGGGCTGGAAGTAGAGCCCCTTGGCTTCCAGCCCAGGGCTCTTTCTACCACCCTAGACCTCAGGTGCAGAGTGACAGGACAGAGAAAGAACTAGAAGTACATCTCTAAGTGAATTTCTAACCAACAGTTGAGTTAAAAGATGGCCCTTGGTTTCAGAAACAACTACTTCTCGCTCAGGGCCATGGTGCTCTGTCATCCCCAGCTCTATGAGAAGCAATATTCAATTAATGCTATCTCTTAAATGAAACATGGGCCATTTAGGAGAGGTACAAAGGCCTGAGGATACTGTGGGGAGCCCTGATCTGGGTGGAGAGACAGGCCACCTATAAATGCCCTTGCAGCTCTTGAACTCTCTAAGTCAGTTAATTCTTCATGAAAAGGAGAGGATATACTGCATGTGTTGCCTCTCCAAATCATACACTTTTGGTATCCTCTTACCCTGGGGCTTATCATGGTTGGTCGTGGCCACTTCCCTGGGAATCACCTTCATGTCCAGTGGCGGGGGGAAATGGGCTAAAATTATGCTTATGGATTTTCATTTTAACAAAATGAAGAAATGTAAAAAAATTAAAAGATGTATTAGTTTTTTGGGGGGAAAAAAAGTAAAACAAAGGGACATGTGCCCACACAGACTTGAAAGTCAAGGGGCTGTATGGGGCTCTGTGGACATTATTGCTCTCTCCGTGTCATCATGCTCCATGCTGATTATGACTGACTTTGTTTATATCTGCCTGCCCCACTCAATGGGGTGCTCCTCAAAGACAGAGACCAAGATGTATTCACTGTTGCAGCTCCAGTGCCTAGCACATACAGGATGCCCTCAGGAAATGTGGGAGGGAAGGAAACCTGCCTGAAAGAAGAGGCATTCTGAGCCAGAGTTAGCAGGACAGGGAATCACTTGGGTTTAGTAAGGTAGGTGATAGGGGAATCATTTGTGGGAGCAAGCGGACAGAGAAGGAGGCAAGGAACCAGAAAAACTGTGTCATCAGAATGAGATAAAAGATCTTGGGTTGGTAGAGTCTGAAAACCTACTGGGGTATTTGAGATATTCACCCTCGTAACCTTTCCCTCTAGCTTCTGCCTCCAAGTAGACTCAGTGCCCAATTGTTTCCACACAGGGCTTCATCAGACTGGACATGTCAGAGTTCCAGGAGCGACATGAGGTGAGTGAGAGTCCTTTGAGAAACACTTCAGTGAAGCGTGGTTTAGATGACCTGTCGGCATGATTCTGCCTTGATCTTCTGGTGTGACTTGTCATTTGGGCCTTTAGGCCTCAGATAATTCCAACAGCTTTGAGATTTGTCCTGTGGTAGCACGTGTGTGCAGTAGGACCGGAGATTGTTTTGCATAGCATTGGAAGAAGATCTACCTGCTCCGATTATGGCAGTATCTCTGCCACACTAGGAGAGAGACAGCCAACTTTCTTTGTTGTGACAGGCACTCTTAACAATGTATAAAAAGCTATATTCCCATACACGCCCCATGTTAGAAACTAAAAGCCTAGAAAGGCCAACCTAGCTTGTTTCCTTCCTTCTATCAGGTTGCCAAGTTTATTGGGTCCCCACCAGGCTACATTGGCCATGAGGAAGGCGGCCAGCTGACCAAGAAGCTAAAACAGTGCCCCAATGCTGTGGTGCTCTTCGATGAGGTGGACAAGGCCCATCCAGATGTGCTTACCATCATGCTGCAGCTGTTTGATGAGGTGAAAATCAGCTTAGAACTAAGGCCCAGATGGGGTGAGAGAACTGCAGGTATGGGGGACTGGGACCAACAGGAACCAAGGGCCCAGAGGCCCTTCTGATCTTCCTCGACTAACTAGTCCCATATGTGTGCAATCAGTAGTTCAGCAGATGTATCGTAGCCCCCTTTCTGGATCAGGACTTGGACTGGGAGTTGAAATTTCATGGCACCTTTGATAGAGGTCCCAGGAAAGAGAACCAAACTCCACTGAGGGTCGATTCCAACTCATAGCAACCCTATTGGACAGAGTAGAATGCCCCATAGAGTTTCCAAGGCTGTAAATCTTTACATACTCACTGCCATCAAGTCAATTCCAACTCATAGTGACCCCCATTGGTTTTCCAAGGCTGTAAATATTTACAGAAGCAGACTGCCTCATCTTTCTCCCATGGAGAAGCTGGTAGGTTCAAACTGCCAACCTTTTGGTTGGTAGCTGAACACTAACCACTGTGCCACCAGAGCTCCTTAGGAAAGAGGAAAAAAAAACTCCCATCAAGTCAGTTCCAACACATAGCAACCACCTTTGGGTTTCTGAGGTGGTAAATCTTTACAGAAGTAGATTGCCCAGTCTTCCTTCTGTGGAATGGCTGGTGGATATGAACCACCAACCTTCTGGTTAGCAGCCAGATGCCTTACCCACTATGCCACCAGAGCTCCTTTAGGAAAGAGGAAGGGACCTGAATTATTAGTTCCCACTGTGCTCCCAACTGAATGTGTGGCCTTGGCAAATCACTGCCCATTTCTGGGCATCAGAGACCTCATGTGACAAGCAAGGAAGCAGGACCAGATAAAGTCCAAAGACTTTTTGGCTTAAACAGCTCCTGATCCTCCCTGTGTGTCAAGCATTATCTCCACCAGTTCTTTAAGATGCTAATAATGTTGCTGCTGATGGTGATGGTGATGATGAGATGATACTCTGGCTCAAGGAGCCCTTTTCTTCTGGGAAGTTCCCAACTCTTTACAAACTGGCCAGTCCCCCCATTGCAAGCTCTGTGCAGGGAGAAGAACTCCCTTTTATTCAGCACATACTATATACTAGGCTTGTGCTAAAGACTTTACAGACACTATCACTAATCCTCACAATATTCAGGCAAGGAGAAATTATCTCATTTTTCACAGATGAAGAAATTGAGGTCCAGAGAGGTTATAAATGACTTGCCCAAGGCCTGTGTGGAGGAGCCAGGATTGAACTGCAGATGTACCTGGTCCCAGAATCCTAGTTCATCCCTCCCTGTATCACTCTTTACCTTGTCAGGGGAGGGAGCAGTTATAAACATAGGATAGGATTACCTTCACCTTTTTCCAGGGGCCTTGCTCTGCCAAAAGAATGCAAGGACTCCAGGGCAAAACCTGAGATGAGGCTTCTCTTCCCCCCACCCCATACTCCATTAAGGGGCTATATTAGCCAGCACCTGTCCAGATAGAAAGGCGCTCTGATGGTGTAGTTGGTAATGCATTTGGCTGATAACCAGAAGGTTGGTGGTTCAAACCTACCAGTAGTTCTTCAGGAGGAAGATGAGGCAATCTATGCCCATTCAGATTTACAGCCTTGGAAACCCTTTGAGGGTTGCTGTGAGTCAGAATCATCTCAATGGCAGTGGGTTTGGTTTTGGTTGATCCAGATAGAATCCACTTAGCCTCCTCTAGCCCTAAGAAAATAGGAAGGGGTTTTGCTTCCCGTGTCACAGGTGCACAAGATGAGGTGCAGGACAGGACTCCCCCTGGACCAAGCAGCACACCAGCTACCAAGCTGGGAGGACCCAGATCTATATCTCCCCGCTATCTGCCCACTGTCTTCCCTGCCTGTTCCAGTATCCTTGCTTCTGCTCCACTTTTATTACTGTCTTCCTAGCCCCTCAGCTGTTCCCTACCCATTGGACTTTCTGTCCAGGAATGAGAGGCCAGTCTTTCAAAGATAACATATTCATTTATTCACATATTCTCAGAGAACTCCTACTTGGGTCCAGGCTCCTGACAGAATCTAGGTGCATAGCTATGGACCAGACCCAAAGCTGTCCTCTGGGAAATCCCATCTTAGAAGAGTGGAGAGGGGCCATAATAATAGCTGATGTTTCTGCACTTTATGTACCAGGTACTGACTGTTCTAAGAAATTTATGTGTATCAACTCACTTAACCCTCCTAACAACTCTATGAAGACAGATACAACTGCTTCCATTTAAAGGCAACTAAGGCAAAGTGCTCTGGTAGCATAGTGCCTAAGGCACTTGACTGCTAACCAGAAGGCTGGTGGTTTAAACCCACCAGCCACTCCTCAGAAGGCAGGTTGGGAAATCTACTTCCATAGTGATATTGCCTCAGAAACCCAAGGAGGGGTCGCTATGAGTCGGGTCCAACTCGACAGCACACAACAACAACAAAGGCAAAGTGATTTGCCCACAGTCACACAACTGGAAAGAGGGAATCTAGGATTTGAACCCAGGCAATCCAGTTCCAGAGCCTACACTCAAACACTATTTAAATAGTTACCATGCAGCTAGGGCCAAGAGAGAAGTTGATCTGCAGCGTACCACTCAAAGGATGTGTATTAGGATTCTCCAGAGAAACAGAACCAATATATATAGAGAGAGAGAGAGATTAATTTTAAGGAATTGACTCATGCAGTTGTGGGGGCTGGCAAGTGCAGAATCTGTAGGTCAGGCAACAGACTGGAAATTCAGGCAGGATTTCAATGGTATAATCTTAAGGCAGAATTCCTTCCCTGTAAGAAGCCCCAGGTTTTCCTTTTAAAGCCTGCGGCTGATTGGATGAGGCTCACCACATTATGGATGTAGAGTAATCTCCTTCACCGAGTCAGCTGATTGTAAATGTTAATCACATCAACAGAATACCTGTATAGGTATTTTGATAGTGTTTGACCAAACAACTGGCACCATAGTCCAGCCAAGTCGACACAAAATGAACCGTCACAGGAAAAGAGAGCCCGCTCAGAGGGGGTAGGTGCAGAAGCTGTCTGATCTCTGACATCCCTGAAGAGATGCCCCTGATAGCATTATTGGCCCAGAGAGAGAGACAGCTAGCTGAGATACAGCCGACCCCACCTGGACAAGTTTACAGCCTCCACCACATGGAAGCCCTGTCAACCCTGTTGCTGCTCTCTCGCTACAGACTGCCTTTTGGGGAGTTGGTAATGATTCCTTCCTGTAGCCTCAGCCAGCCTACTGTAGTTTCTGATGTTTATTCTTTTGGTTCCAATGACCAAAGCTGCCATCCGGGTTTACCGTTGGTGGTAGTGGTTGCCATTGAGTCAACTCCAAATCATGGTAACTTCATGTACAACAGAATGAAATGTTGCCCAGGCTTCACCATCTTGGTTGGTACAATGGTTGGTATGCTTAATTCCATTGTTGTGGCCACTGTGTATTTCCAGTGCTTTGCAACCTGGGCGGCTCATCTTCCAGCACTATATAGAGCAATAGTCTGTTGTGGTCCATAGAATTTTGCTTGGCTGATTTTTGGAAGTAGATCATCACCAGGCCTTTCTTCCTAGTCTGTCTTAGTCTGGAAGCTCCCCGAAAAACTGTCCACCATGGTGGTATTTGAAACATCTGTACCATAGCTTCTAGCATCATAGCAGCAAGCAAGCCACCACAGTGCAACAAACTAACAAAAGAATAGTGGCATCTGAGTTTACTTAGCCCTATTTATGTATATGTACTCTTTAAGGGCAGAGACTTTGTACTATTCACTCCAACATTCTCAGAGCCCATAAAGTCAGAGGAAAGTCTATATTAAATAACATAATTCAACAGTGATTTCACAAACCTTCAAAGGATGAATACTGTGTATATTTTTTTCCTGCATATAATGTGCCCAAGTAAATAATGTGCACATACATATAATGCACACAGTGTGTATAGGAAGCTAACACGCAAAGGTGCCGTGCAGTTTGCAAAAGTCACATAACATGCACATTATTTGCATAATATATGGTAAACATATTCCAGGTGAACTGGATGGAGACGAGCTGGCAGTAAAAACCTAATATGCAAAAGTGTAGGGGCCTGAAACAGGCTGATGTGTTCAGAGAACTACGACTATTCCTTACTGCTCAACTGCAGGGGAAAAGTGAGAACAGAGTGGGGGAGATGAGACAGATCAGGTAGCAAGGAACCAGTTAAAACACCAAGCAAAGGAGTACGGAATAATCCAGTGGATAGTAAGGAGCCAATGAAAGACTTGAAGCAATAAAGAAACCTGGTCAGATTTCATTTTACAAAAATCCTGTAGGCAGAAGTGTAGAGAATGGACTGGAGGAGAGAAAGAGACAGCAAGGAAACTATTGCATAGTTCATACTAGAGATGGGGAGGCTTGTTCTAAAGCAGGGCAGTGGAGATGGAGAGACGATGAGAAGGTTGACTATGCAGGGCTTAGTGATCGAATGAAGGCAGAAGAAGAGCCTAGGGTGACCAGTGGCTAGACTTCTGGCCTGGATAATGGAGCGTGCGCTGCTGCCATCAGCTGAGGCAGGGGAATAGGAGATGAGCCGCAGATTGGTGAGGAAGGTGATAAACTTGAGTTTTGGGATTGTTGAAAATGAGATGCCTGTGGGACAGCCAGGTGGAGATGTCCAAGAGGTCATTCTCCTGTTATATTTAGGAGAAAAGCCTGGATTGGAAATAGAGATCCAGGCATCATTCAGTCCAGAGAGGGTTACAGAAGCCACTGGAATGGATGAGATTGCTTCCATGGGGAGAGTATACAGTGAAAAGAGGAGCAGGCTAAGAAGGAACTTGAACCTGCCAGGGAAGAGTCAGAGGAAATCCCTAGAAAGGTAAGAGGACAACCAAGAGAATGTGGCTTATTTGTTTATTTTTGAGGTACTTTGTGGGGCATGGGGACACAGACAAAGCAGACACAGTCTCTGCCACAGTGTTCATGAATTAGCAGGGGAGACAAGCACCTAAAAAGCAGTTCATGTGATTGAGTAAGTGCTGCAGTAGGGATAAATAGGAAGTCCAGGGACTTGAGCGCACCTTATCCAGTTGGGGGCATGAGGGAAGACTACCTAAAGAGAGAATGCATAAGGATTAATAGGAGATCTGGTGCACTTTGCAAGGGACGGAAGACTCCCCCCTCCCATCCCTACCACAGCTTAGTTCTCTCAAGCTGAAGCCTAGAAAAGCAAGAACCAAAATGCTGTCACTGAAAAACCAAGCAGGGCTAATGCTGGCCTTTTCCTAGGTAACTCCAAAGCCTACAGTACAGGGGTAGGAGTCCCAGGAAGAAACTGGCTACCCTCACATACTAGAAGAGGAGCCCACCCTCCTAGTCCCTTCAGAGATTCATATGAGACAATGGGAAAGCAAGCAACCCCTATAACCCTAGAGTGAACATCCCAAGCCCCGCCCAGGAGGTGTGAGGTGGGGTCAATGACAGCTCCCTCTTTGGGACATACGTTTATTGTCACAGAAACTAAGGAGAAGGAGAGATGAACTCTGTGAAAGTCACCCTTGGGGTCACTCATACACTGCACCTGCTCCCCTCACTCACGTGGGACCCATCCTCAGGCCCAGTTATGAGCAAAGCTTTGCTCTTTTGGAATGAAATTGCTCCTGGGTTATTGCTCTGGCCAGGACAGCAGTGCGTGAACTCAGTCTTCAGGGGTGAACTCCACTAAGATGAGTGTGGAACACACACAGGATCAAATGCACACACTCAAGCACATCACACTCACACAGACGGGCCCCGAAGCTAGGATTGCCCTCAGCAGGTTCTGTTTTGCCATAACCCATAAATGGGGTACAAGTGGAAAGCTGATGGCAAAAGCTCAAGTACATCTCCTTGGAAGCTTGCAAGCTTGCCTTCTACTTTTCCAGCCTGAGCAGAGGTAGGCGTGACCAGCCCCAGGACCTGGATCACCAGGCTCTTTTGGAATAGACTTTTTTGTTTGTTTGTTTTTGTTTTTTTTAAACTAACACTTTCTCAGAGACCAGTGCAAGGGCCAGTGTAAACCAAGATTGCAGAGCACCTGGGATCATGCCCAGCACACACTAGGTGCTCAGTTACTGCACATTCCTTCCTTCTTTGCCTCTAAGGGCAGACTGGGTTGGCCATTACATTGGCTTGAGAAGAAAAGGCTAACCTTGAATCAGGCCCACACCAACAGAAGAAGGGAAAAACTTGATGAGGATTGGTTCCTGACTGAAGCTGGGGCAGGATTCAATATCCCTACTATCAGGCAAAAGCCAGCAGGCTGAGGTCAGTGACCTATCCCTAGATCCGTATTCTTTTATAGAATATAAGAATATAAGTGACCTATCCCTAGATCCATATTCTCTTATAGAATATGGGCTTATAGAAGCTGCAGCCCAGGGAAACCCAGGCCGATCTCCCTCTCCCTTGCACCTGCCCCAGTTGCTTCTCTGTAGTAAGAATCAAAGAATGCAAACTGAATTTGGCAAAATTCTGAGGGAAAAAAGTTGATTTAGAGAATTTACATGAGGCTTCATTTACCCAGTACTGTCTGAGTATGAGAGCTCTGTAGCCTGGTGCAGAAAGAGGGGCATGGATTCTAGAATCAGACAGTTCAAGTCTCCACTTTTCTATTTTCTAGCTGTGAAACTTTGAAAAAGTTACTTACCCTCTCTGAACCTCAGTTTCTTTGTAGGGATCATAATTACACCTGCCTGTAAGGGTGGTTGTAAATCTTCAGGCATTTGGCCAGCAGGTATTGAATACTTACTGTGGGCCAGATTCTAGGCCACAGTGATGAGCAAGACCAAGCCTCTACCCTCCTGGAACAACATTCCAGTGGACAGAGTGAAGTAGTCCATGGAGAGCACTGAGCAGCACCTATAAATAGAAGTGAAAGTACTCTATAAATATTCACTGTTGTGACTACATCAGTTTGTCTCAGTGAGTCCTCATCATTGGCTTTTGTCATAAATGACTGTAAAGTGCTTTGGTACAGTTATCCATTGAGATGTGCTGAATGGATGAAGCTCTGTGCCCCTGAACTGAATGTCCCCACACAGCTGTATTTTATAAGTCTTCTGTCCCTCTGCTGTTTGCTTCTTTTTTCTTTTCCTGGTGCATCTTCCTCCCATATAGATACTTTCTTCTGTGTCACTTCTTGTTGATGCTAGTTGCCATCAAGTCAGCTCTGACTCACGGCAGCCTTGTGCATACTAGAACTAAACATTGCCGGGCCTGTGCCATGTTCATGATCATCGGTATGTTTGAGTCCATTGTTGTGGCTGCTGGGTCAGTCCCTTTCATTGATAGTTTCCTTTGTTTTCATTGACCTTCTACTTTACCAAACATGATGTCCTTTTCTAGGAATTGATCTTTCCTGATGACATGTCCAAAGTAAGCAAACATGAGGTCTTGCCATGTTACTTCTACAAAGAGTGAAAGATTCCAGGAAAACTTCTGAGTTGGTTAACAGAGGAGCGTTATTTTCTACCCATCTCTGGTAGGCCAGAGGGTGACTCCAAAGACTGTAGGAATTATACCTGTTTCCATTCATTCAGTTCATTTTGATCCACCAAAAGATATTCAGTGTCTGCTATAGTAGGAACAGTTCTGAGCATATGCAGTGCATGGTTTAGTAAGGATCTTTCACCATTAGGACCATACCTAGTCCTCACAATAGCCCTGTAAAATACCCTCCTCTGAACTCCTACAGCTATCTGACCATCCCTTCATCACGTCATTGCTGTTCACAGGGTCTGACTATTTGGTGCAGAGAGGAAGGCATGGGATCTAGAGTCAGACAGTTCAAGTGTTAGCTCTTCTGTTTTCTGACTATGAGACCTTGAACAAGTTACTTAACCTCTGAGCCTCAGTTTCTTTGCAAGGATCATTAGACCTGTCTCTAAGGATGGTTGTAAGTCTTCAGGCATTCAGCTAACAGGTATTGAATACTGACTGTGTGCCAAATTCTAGGGCACTTCTCTAGATTGGAAGAATGTTGAAGGCTTACTGAATCCCCAGTGCCCCAACACAGAGCCTGACCCAGAGGGGACCTCCAAAAAAGTGGTTGAATGGATGGATGGATGGGTAAACAAATGGATTCCTGAGTGCCAGAGATAATTTGGTGGCCTGAGAGATGCCAAATAGCAGGTGCAGTGTCACCTGGAAGCACTCTATAAGAAGAGCAGTTCAATCCAAGGCAGTGTGCACTGAAGCAAGGTGTGAATACAGTGCTCAGAGAACCCAGGGGAGGGGCAACTGACTCTGTCGGGGAGGCACGTGGGATTCTGGGGAGGCGTCCTGGAAGAGGTGCATACTGAGAGGGCTAAAGTCTGCCCAGGTTTGTAGCTCCAACTGAGCAGTCACTCTTCCTTCACAGGGCCGGCTGACAGACGGAAAAGGGAAGACCATTGACTGCAAGGACGCCATCTTCATCATGACCTCCAACGTGGCCAGTGACGAGATCGCGCAGCACGCGCTACAGCTGAGGCAGGAAGCTTTGGAGCTGAGCCGTAACCGTATTGCCGAGAACCTTGGTATGAAACATGGCCTGAGCTGTCTGGGCAAGTGACCAGGCCACCAGCACATATCCTGGAGACAGGATGGGGATTGGGGTCCTGGACCTAGGTGAGGGGCCTGATAGGCAGCTTTGTCCTTAGCTGGCACTGACCAGATACTAGGCACCATACCAGATGGTAGAGGCCCAAGTCTTTTGGATATTAGGAGGGCTTCAGATAGAGGGATAGACAGGACCACCTCAAGGTTGGAGGCCAGGAAAAGACCAAGGTCTTGAAGAGTAAAGAGATGCACGCTTATCAGATAGTGATACTTTAGTGCAATGAGGTGACAGCAAATCAGAAACTGTATGCAGGAGGACACGGCCCATTTCCCCCAGAGATGCTTCCTGTATGGGTGGGCCCTGGAAAATACCGAAAAGGAGTGTGTCAGGCAAGAGGCTGTGTCTGTCACATTTCTATTTAGAATGAACTCCATAGTCCCCTTCCTCCAAGTCAGAACTCACCTCTTGGTCCTGGCACTTTCTCCTCTCCCCTCCCTTCCCTCATACAAGCCCCACCCTAAGGAACCCCAGACTTTGTAGCACATGAGAATTAGAAGGCCTCAAGTCCAATCCTATCATTGTTCAGGTGAGTAGATGAGGCCTGGACCAGGATCACAGTCAGGAGCAGAACCAGGGCTCTTTTCATGGATAGGACAAAGGGGCAGGCACAGCCTTCAAAAATTCCTAGATGTGGGGAGTAGGCAGGTTATGATTCTGTCTCCACAGGGGATGTCCAGATCAGTGACAAGATCACCATCTCAAAGAACTTCAAGGAGAATGTGATTCGCCCCATCCTAAAAGTAAGAGGTCTTTGTTTATCCTTCCTGCTGGAGCTATAGGGGAAGGAGGCATTGACATTCTAAAGATATAGAAGCTCCTCGCCTCTGCCCCATTGAGATCCAGTATTTCCCCTTACCCTCTCTGGTCATCGAGTTCACCACCCCTAATCTGGCCCTGCAGGCTCACTTCCGAAGGGATGAGTTTCTGGGACGGATCAATGAGATCGTCTACTTCCTCCCCTTTTGCCACTCGGAGCTCATCCAACTGGTCAACAAGGAGCTTAACTTCTGGGCCAAGAGAGTAAGAATGGGGACTGCCTATGGGTGGGGACAGGACATCTGCCCAGTGGAAATCAGGGGACATTGGGCTGGGAGCATGTACATTTGCACATACACACAAGGGGAGCATAGTGGTGTGGGGCCATTGGCCCTAGGCGCTCACAGTCTTTCACAAGCTCAGGCTTCAGGCCAGAGTGGTGAGAGATGGAAAGCACTGGGCCACATGCACATGCTTCTATCTGACCTCTCCCAGGCCAAGCAAAGGCATAACATCACACTGCTCTGGGACCGTGAGGTGGCAGACGTGTTGGTTGATGGCTACAATGTGCACTATGGTGCCCGCTCCATCAAGCATGAGGTGAGCCATAACTTTCAGAACACAGGCTTTTAAGAGAAGTGAGGTGCTTCCACACCTCCCTTCCTGGAGCCCCCAAACCTATCCCCTGGGCCCCCAGCCTGATTGTCTACACCCAGAGTAGATGCCCCTTTAGAAGAGCAAGTAAAACCTTTGTTCTGGAGGGTAACCAAGAATGAACCCCTATCAGGAGTGGGAACTGGGGTGGAATTCTCAGAAACTGACATCCTTGAGTCTTCAGCACAACCCTGTCAGTCAGATGTTGTTAGGCCCACATTGTAGACAAGAAAACTGAGGCTCAGAGAAGTTTCCTGACTTGCCCCAGGGGGCCACAGACTGCCCAGGCTAAGGCAGTGACAACCACTTCACCACCACCTGCAGGTAGAGCGCCGTGTGGTGAACCAGCTGGCAGCAGCCTATGAACAGGACCTGCTGCCTGGTGGCTGTACTCTGCGCATTACTGTGGAGGACTCAGACAAGCAGCTTTTCAAGAGCCCCGAACTGTCCACACCCCAGGCTGAAAAACGCCCACCCAAGCTACGGCTAGAGATCATTGATAAGGACAGCAAGACCCATAAACTGGACATCCGGGCACCACTACACCCCGAGAAGGTGTGCTACACACTCTAGCATATACCTACCTGCCCATACGTGCCCTCAACATCCAATAAAGGCCCCTTGGCTGTGGCATGGCAACTGACCTATCTTCCCCTCATGCCTCTTCCTCCTCTCTACCCAGCCTAAGGCCTGCTTACCTCCTCACAGCCCTTGGAAGACCCCTACTCTGCCCCAGAGCCTTGGGCAGGAATCTTGACCTATTCTGGCCCCTTTGTTTAGGGCCTATGATCTGCTAAGCAGTCTCCAGGAAAGTTGCCACCCCTCTATCCCTTCAAGGCAGAGAGGGCATCCCTCAACTCAGTCCTTCAGCATGATCCCTATGCCCTATAGTCTCTGAAACTTTATCCTGTACCCAGGAGGCTCAGAAGTGTGGCAGCTAAAAGCAGATCAGGCTGGAGGAAGACATGGACCAGGCTGTGACCTGCCCACCCTCTGCTGGCCTTCATGCAGCTCAGTCCCCAGAACGTCTCCATGGGTAGGGGGGAAAAAGTATAGAGGACCAAGCATAGATGGTTATGTAGTCTAGATGGTAGCTGCTGCTTTCCAATGACCTAAAATTCCAAAGAAGAGGGGTCCATAGAACCCTTCTCTCCTTCCACTGTCCTATTATGCCTACTAACCATTCCCACCTCATGTCCTGGGGTTAGTCCTTGGGACTAGGCCAGTATAGGACACCTCTGGGTTGGGAGACTGGCTCATTACCCTCCCCAATTCTGGGACTGGACAACAGTCCCAAACAAGCAAACTCAGCACTGTGGCATACTCCTCCAAGGGACTAACAATATAGACACTGGGGAGCTGTAGCAGGAGAGATCATCTGGTCAGGCTCTGCCCAGGTGGCCATGGAGTCTGCTCCAGCCCTGTCTATACTGCTGTCCCACCCTGGTTAGCCTGGAATAAACATCTTCCCCATGCTCTCTTCATGTTAGTTACTAAGGAGAAGATCTAGACAATATCCCCCAAGGGCATTCCATAGACCAGCCATGTTTCACCCCCACCCAAGGAGGATATACAATAAGGCCTAGTGCATCCTCAGGCACCAATTGCAGCACCAACTACTGATGACCACCTATCTACCCTGCCAATTGAAGGCCTTGTTGGAACCCTTCTTTAGTTGTTAGCTAATCTGTTTCAAGAGGCATAAAATGAGAATAAGAATCACATTCCTCTGGGTGATGAGAGTATATCCTAACAATATGGTGGCTGTGAGGCAGGCAGGCCAGGCATGTTGACTCCAGCAGTTGCTCCCGCAGTCACCTTCTAGCCCCTCAAGGATCTGTGTCTGCTGCGCCCTACCTCAGTGAGTGCCATTCTTTTTTTTTTTTTTAATTGTGGTTAATATTTATGTTACAAAACATTTGCCATTTCAGCATTTCTCCTATGTACAATTCTGTAACATTAATCATATTCATTGTATTGCCCATCCCCTCCCCACTGTCCATTTCCACATTTCTCCATCACCCTCAACAGAAGCTCCATGTGCCCTAAGCAATGAGTCTTCTCCTTTTTTTTAACTTTTGTTTTGAAATAATTTTAGACTTACAAAAAGTTGCAAAAATATTTGAGAATTTCCATACACTCTTCACCCAGCTTCCTGTGATATTAACATCTCACGTAGCCATACTGTAGTCATCAAAACCAGGAAATTAGCATTGATCCAATATTACTAACTAATCTACAGACCTTTTTAAATTTTGCGAGCTTTCCCACTGATGTCCTTTTTCTGGTCCAGGATCTGGTCCCAGATTCCCCATTGTATTATTTTTTGTCAACACCTTTATTTTAAAAAATAATAGCACAACAAAGTTCCAATACTAGGAAAGAATTTGGCTAATCTCCTCAAGAACATTATAGAAATATGTAACTTCAAGTGCCTTTTTACCTCTAAATATCTAAAATCTATCTAAAAATATTGGACCAAGAATAATTCATTAGAGTTGAATGCAATTTTATAGTGGTTGTTTTGCTGTGGGTTTTATTTTATTTTTTCACTGTGGTTTGGGTGAAAGTTTACAGAGCACGTTAGTTTCCCATTCAACAATTTATACACATTTTGTTTCGTGACATTAGTTGCAATCCCCTCCATATAACAGCGTTCTTCCCATTTCTCCCTGGGTTCCCGGTTCTGTGTTCCTTCTTTCCTGCCCCTTCCTGCCTTCTGAACTTTGTTTTTGGGCAGATGCTGCTCTTTTGGTCTCGTCTGGTTGACTGTTCTGAGAAATACATGCCTCACGGATGTTATTGTTCACTGTATAGGTCTGTCTACTGTTTGGCTGAAAGGTGATCCCCAGAGCTGGGTTCAGTTCCAGGTTTGAAGAGTGTCTAAGGGCCGGTGTCAGGGCTTCCACTAGTCTGCATCAGACCAGTCAGTCTCGTCTTTCTTACCACATTATGTTTTGTTATAATGCTTCCTACATCTCTTTCAGTCTGTGAGAGTTTTTCAGTCTTCCTTTGTGTTTCATGACCTTGACACTTTTGAGGGTCATGAATTTGAGAATGGCACTTCTGAAGAGTCCAAGCTAGTTGTGTCCCTCGGTTTGGGTTTATCTAGTGATTTCACAAAATTAGATTGAGTTTATACATTTTTGACAAGAGTGTCATAGAGGTCCCTTCTCAGTGCCTCATGTCAGAGATAATGTTAACTTTGATCATGTAGCTTAGGCGCTAGGTTTCTCCACTGTAAAGTTACTAATTTCCCCTTTGAAAGTAGTAAGAATCTTGTGGAGAGATGCTTTTGAAATTATGCAGCTTTCATGTTTAGAATTTCATCCACTGATTTTAACTCTGTCAGTGGTTCTTACACTTACAGTAAGTATTAATGTTGTATCTACCTAATGATGATTTTCTGTTTCCCTTATTCATTCTGTATTCAGTAATATATAGTCCATTCTAAGGAGCCCTGGTGGTGCAGTGGAAAGTGCTTGGCTGCCAACCAAAAGGATGGCAGTTCACGTTGACCAGCAGCTCTGTGGGAGAAAGACCTGGCTGTCTGCTGCTGTGGAGATTACAGCCTGTGAAACCCTATGGGCAGTTCTACTCTTGTCTCATGGGGTTGCTATGAGTCAGAATTTACTTGATGTCACCTAAAAACAGCAGTCTAAGAAAGCTGTCCCTTTCCCCCTATTTATTTATTTAATAACTTATCAATATGAGCTGATGGATATCTGTTTCATTCTATAGGTTATGATCTAATACTAGTATGGTTTATTTTGTGCTCAAATTATCCCAGATTTGGCCATTGAGAATTCCTTCAAGTTGTCTCCTGTCTTTTCAGCATTGCCTCCATCATTTTTTGAGTACTTCTTTGCTTTCTGGCACCACGGTAAGTTCCAGGCTCCCCTTCTATTTTCCATATCCTAGCCCTGACGTCAGCCATTTCTCTAAGCAGCCCCCGGTTCCTTTTATTCAAGAATGGTACTTAGAAACTGAGATCTGGGTGCTAGGTGTGCTCATTGTTACTAGGGTTTTGCTTCTAGGCCCTTTCAGCAGACACAGCTAGGAAATATATGTATGTATATTAACGTGCATGTACCCACATCTGAATTTATTATTGTATCTGTCCATCTGTATATTTATTAAAAACAATTAGTTTATATTGATACTTTCAGTTCTAACATAAGTGTGTTCATTACTGTCATCCTTTTGACTTTACTATCCTTTTATACTTCTTTTGCTCCTGCTATCTCCATTTCTTCTCCTTTATCTCTGTTTGGTGTTCTTAGTTCCCTTAAGGAGCTCTGGTGGTACAATGATGAAGGCATTTAGCTGCTAACCAAAAGGTCAGCAATTTGAATCCACTAGCCACTCCATGGAAGAAGGATGAGGCAAACTGCTTCTGTATAGATTTATAGCCTTGGAAACTCTATGAGGATCACTATGAGTCAGAATCGACTCATGGCAAAGGCTCTAGTTCAGTCACCATCCTATGTGAGGCATTCCTACTGGATAAAGTTTTTGGTTCAGTCAGCTGTGGCCAGGAACAGCAGGCATATAACTCAAAACCAGGTAACTTCTATGCAAGAAAATCCAATGGCCACCTTCCTAAGAAGAGAGGGTTAGAGACAGAGTAGACCTTCAGATTCTGAGGAACTTAAGTGTCAATTCTTCCCTGGGAATCTTTGCCAGACCTACTAGGTGATGTTGGACTTTTACCTTATACTTCCATAGCACCTTAGGCAATACTCAACTCACTTGCATTACTTGTACCATGTCTGTCTTTATAACTAGAAAGGAAGCTCTAAGGGAACAGATACTGTTCTATTCATAGAACCTGCCACAGTGACTACACATGTTGGATGCCTGAGGATTGTTTGGATGAGTGGGTGTGTGGGCTTTACAGCAAGCACAGATCTTCACAGGGAGCATTGGGGCGGAGCAGTATCATTCATTCTTTCAGCACATTTTTATTTGGCATGTACTTGTGGCCAAGCAGTGGGGCTACCTCCCAGGGTTGGAGTCCTGAGCAAATGGGGCACCAAACCAAAAACCAGACTCACTGCCATCAAGTCGGCTTTGACTCATAGCGACTCCTCCTTGGGTTTCTGAGGCTGTATCTCTACGGAAGTAGATTGCCCAGTCTTCCTTCCAAGGAGTGGCTGTTGGGTCTGAACTACCAGCCTTCTGGTTAGTAGTCAAATGCCTTGGGCACTATGTCACCTGAGCTCCTAAAATAGGGCATGATGCAACCCAAATACTTTAATGAGGATCCTGGAATGCACGAGATTAGAGTTGGAAATGGAAGTATAATGTCTGTATTGTTCAAAAAGAAAAACTCAAGAGGTGTGTATGATTGTATAGATTGTGATGGTAACATTTAAACCATAAGGAAATAGAAAATTGATCCAATAAAGATAAAATCTAGAGTTCTTAAAAGAAAACAAACCAAAAGGAATAAATAGAAAGATAATTGTTTGAAAGTACCAATAAAATAGATAAAATATTCTGAGCCTGATAAAGAGAAAAGGAGAAGAAATACAAGATTAGGAGTGAGAAATTGTTATTGTCGTTGTTAGGTGCCATCAAGTCAGCACCAACTCATAGCCACCCTGTGTACAATGGAACGAAACACTGCCTGCTCCTGTGCCAGCCTCACAGTCCCTGCTATCCCTGAGCC